CCTAACTGCCTTTTCTTGTCCCCGTAGAGAAGCAGTATACTGTCTTGGTTTAGGGATTAAGGATACGAATTTAAGTCCCAGATCTGTGTCTCATCAGCTGTGAGTCCTTGTGCAAATAATTCACCTCTTTCACACCTCAGTTTGTCCACATATAAAATGGGGATGATGATATAGCAGCTGCCACAAACGGCTGTTAGCAACACTAAACGGGTTAATAAATATGGGAAGTGCTTAGAAGAGAGCCAGGCATAGGTAAACTTCCCACAAATATTACCTGTTCAGCAATATTTACATGTTTAAAGAATCAGTTGCTGGGCGTGATGGCTCACGCCTGTAATCACAGCACTTTGGGAGGCTGAGGCAGGCAGATGACTTTAGGTGAGGAGTTCAAGACCAGCCTGGCCAACATGGCAAAACCCTGTCTCTACTAAAAATACAAAAATTAGCCAGGACTGGTGGTACAAGCCTGGAGTCCCAGCTACTCAGGAGGCTGAGGCAGAAGAATCATTTGAACCTGGGAGGCAAAGGGTGCAGCGAGCAACCAGAGGCCGGGTGCGGTGACTCACACCTGTACTCCCAGCACTTTGGGAGGCCAAGGCGGGCAGATCATCTGAGGTCAGCAGTTTGAGGCTAGCCTAGCCAACATGGCGAAACCCCATCTCTACAAAAAAATACAAAAATTAGCTAGTGTGGTGGTGGGAGCCAGTAATCCCAGCTACTTAGGAGGCTGAAGCAGGAGAATCGCTTGAACCCGGGAGGCAGAGACTGCAGTGCGCAAAGATCAGCTCACTGAACTCCAGCCTGACAGTGAGACTTTTTTCTTTTCCAAAAAAAAAAAAGGACAGGAAAGTGGGAAGGCACAACAGACTGTCTTCCAGTTAAAAATGCAGGGAGAGAGATCCAAGATAGCTGATCACTAACAGCTCAGGATTGTAGCTCCCAGTGAAAGCTCAGAGAACGAGAGGACGCCACACTTTCAGACGAATTTTCATCGCTCACGGACCAGCAGATTTCTAGTGGAGGAGCCCCACGGGTCGCCAGCGTGACTCTTGTGGCCGGCGCAGCGGTTTTGCCGGCACCTTGGTGCGGCAGCTTTTCATGCAGAGTAAACGAGACTGGTTCCCTTACTGACCGGTGTTTGGAGCTCCAGGAAGGCAGAGCCGCTTGTTGCGGACTCAAGAAAGAAGCCAGACCAGAGATTCCCGGGCAGAAGAGCACCATCAGTCTTATTGCTGCTATTGTGGCCGGCGCAGTGGGTTGCTCGAATCCCAGCACTGGGAATCAATAAATTGAACGTCGACTCAGAAACCTAATTAGAAAGGCGGTAATTGTAAAGATGACAGATGGATAAATTTATAATAAAGGGAAAAAACCAGCCTAAGAAGGCCGAGCATACCCAAAATCAGAACCCCTCTCCCTCTACAGGGGATTGCAGTTCCTCATCAGCAACGGAACAAGCCCTGATGGAAAAGGACTGTGTTCCATTATCTGAAGTAGGCTTCAGAAGGTGGATGATAAGAAACTTCTGGGAATTAAAAGAACTTGTTCTAACCCAATGTAAAGAAACTAAGAACTTTGAAAAAAGGTTTGACTAAATGCTGAAAAGAATAGACAATATAGAGAGGAATATAAATGAACTAACAAAGTTGAAAAATACAACATGAGAACTTAGTGAAATATGCACAAGTTTAAATAGCAGAATGGATCAAGCAGAAGAAAGGATATCAGAGGTCAAAGACCAACTTAATGAAATAAAACGACAAGACAAGAATAGAGAAAAAAGGATGAAAAGGAATGAGCAAAGTCTCCAAGAAATATGGGACTATGTGAAAAGACCCAATCTACGTTTGATTGGTGTACCTGAATGTGATGGAGAGAATGAATCCAAGCTGGAAAATACTTTTAAGGATATTATCCAGGAAAATTTTCCCAATCTAGCAAAGCAGGACACTATTCAACCCCAGGTAATACAGAGAACACCACAAAGATATTCCTCAAGAAGAGCAACCCCAAGGCACATAATTGTTAGATTCACCAGGATCGAAACGAAGGAGAAAATACTAAGGGCAGCCAGAGAGAAAGGCCAGGTTACCCATAAAGGTAAGCCTATTAGACTTACAGCAGATCTCTCAGCGGAAACCCTACAAGCCAGACGAGAGTGGGGGCCAATATTCAACATACTTAAAGAACAGAACTTTCAGCCTAGAATCTCATATCCTGCCAAACTAAGCTTCACAATTGAAGGAAAAATAAAATCTTTTATGAACAAGCAAGTACTCAGAGATTTTATTACCACCAGGCCTGCTTTACAAGAACTTCTGAAAGAAGCATTATACATAGAAAAAATAACCAGTATGAGCCTTTCTAAAAATATACCAAAAAGTAAAGAGCATCAACATAAAGAAGAATTGACAGCAACGAATGGATAAAATAGCCAGTTAACATCAAATGGCAGTAACCCTAAATTTAAATCGACTAAATCCCCCAATCAAAAGATACAGCCAAAACCTAATGGTATATCCAAAGATACACAAAGACTCAAAACAAAGGGTTGGAAAAAAATTTACCAACCAAATGGAGAGCAAAAATAAATAAATAAACAAAAAGCAGGAGTTGCAATTCTCACATTTGATAAAATAGATTTCAAAGCAACAAAGATACAGTGGTAAAAGGGTCAATGCAACAATAAGAGATCTTAATACCCAGATACATAAGACCCATAACGAGATTTAGACTCAACGAGACAGAAAATTAATAAGGATATCCAGGACTTCAACTCAGATCCAGAACAAGTAAACTCAATAAATATTTATAGAGCTCTCCATTTTAAATACACAAAATATTGATCGGCCATTATTAATACCCATTTTTAGAATGAAGCAATATTCCTGTTCTCTCTCCCTCTTTTTCTTCCTCTTTCTTCCTCTCCTTCTCTCCTTTCTTTACTTTTCAACATCCCAGTTCCTCACACACACACACACACACAAAAAATGCAGATATTATAGTTACATTCACTAAATGTTCACCTACAGATGAACATCTCCTGATTTGTCTGTCTCAAGGCATTCAGACAGCCACAGATTCTGGAGTATCTCTAGAAGCCTGTTACTGGCCCATATCTTGACCGTCTCATCTCAAGCAGGGTTTCTCAACCAAGGCACCACTTGAATTTTAAACTGGGGAATTCTTTGTCACAGGGTCTATCTTGTATGCACTGCAAAAAGTTTAGTAGTATCCCTGGCATCTATCCACAAGATACCAGTAGCAACACTCAAGTCCCCGCCATCCCAAGTTGTGACAAGCAAAAATGTCTCCAGATTGAGCCAAATATCCTGAGGGACAAAATCACCCCTAGATGAAAACCACAGCTCTAGTTTTCAGAACTGACTTTTCCAATGGGATACAAAACAGACCCTCTGTCCCAAGTTCTAGTGTCCTCAATATGATCTCCTGGGGCAGGCGTCCATGAAGGATGAGGAAAATAGATTCCATAGGGCCCCACACAGCCCACCTTACTCCCAAGCATGGTGCATGCAGATAAGCTGGAAGGCAGAATACACAGAGGCCATTTCAGTCTTGGCTGATAAAAAGAAGCTACAGGGAAATCTGAGTGTGTACTTAAAAGGCTCTGCCTCCAGAAACCAACTGCTGTAACATTTATAATGGGCAGATCGTTTACACGGAGACTTCGCCTTCAATTCGCCAAGCGTTCAATGTCCGTTAATATTCCCAAGGGGCAGGGTTGGCTCTCTTCCATCTTCAAGATGATTCAGGTTTCCTGGTGAACAAAATGGGCCTCTAATGCCTAATATTTTCTCTCTGACAGATGGTCTCAGATGTATCAAAGTGTCAATCCTTGCTGAGGTATAGGTCTCAAGGAAGGCGAGTTTGGCTTTTATAATGATACGACTGGAATGATTAAGAAGGAAAATTACTCCCGGGAGATTCACCATTACCATGTGAGCAACTGGCTTAAAACGAAGGAAGCCAGCAGAATTGGAAACACGATTTGAGGGAAATGGAGAGAAAAAAACTAAAAATCCCGGGTTAACAGTTTGGGTTTGAAAAGGTCCCGCTCAAAAAACATCTTTGGGAGTGGAAATGAAGTGCAGTAAAAGCACCTTTCCACTCACGATAATCAGGGTTCCATCTGCCTCCCCAGTCACCATTCCCAGCCTGCGTGCTCACAGGAGACTCTGGACAGAGGCCTGGGGTGGTACATATTTGCCTTGCCACTTACTTGCTGTGTGACCTTGGGCACGTTATAAAACCTCTGAGCCTCAGTGCCCTCGTTTGTAAAATGGGTATGTTTTACATATATACTTCAAGGTGAGCTTGTGCAAATCAAACGATCCAAAGTGTGCCTAACCTGATGTATAAAAGGCATTCAGTGAATTTTAAGTGTAACTATGAACTAATACTTAGCGTCGACTTATGTGTGGACTGCTTTCATATACATGACCACCTGAGTCTCACAGGAGGCTCGGCATTTTATTACAAATGATGTGGTTATGAACATTAATAGATGAGGATGCTGAGGGTCCTAGAGGTTGAGCAACTTGTCCACGGTCACAAAGCTGCACACGGCGGGATTCGAACCCATGCTCTCCCTGACCCTCGTCCAGGTTCTTTCCACGGCACCACGTGGAACTCACGGAGAGGGATGTGTGTTGCGGGGGTCAGGTCACCGCGCGGGGTAAGAGGTCACTCACTGTACTCCTCCAATCTCGTTAGGGGCCGGAAGTAGATGGGATAGAAGGCGGCGCCGATCAGGGAGATGAAGCCGCCGAAAATGAGCGCGGTGCGCAGGTTCCGGGACATGGCGCCGGGCCTGGGGCTGCCCTGACCCGCCGACCGCCTCGCACTCTCGGAAACCTGGCTACCAAAAGTCGGGCCGTGACCCCACTCGGAAGAGGCGGAGCGGCTTTCGCTTCCGGGCCTTGGGGGAGGGACGAGGAGGAGGGGCGGGGCGAGAGGCAGGGGTGGAGTCAGAGGCGGGACCTCAGTGCTGGGCTGGGAGGGGCCAGGGGAGGGGTGGGGTCACAGATAGGGACCCGGACCCCGCCCTCCGCCTTCCCAGCGCTCCGGGGCTGCGCGGGCCGGACGCAGGATGTGAAGTGAGGTTCGATTTGTTTTTCTGCGCTCGATTCCCGCGGGCCCCCGTTCTGTCTGTTTCCCTTCTCGACCCAGCTCCTCCCTTCAAGCACCTCCACCCAGCACCCTCCAGACCTCCTTTATCATCCCCTTCTTCACGAACCAGCTTTCTCGTCCTTCCCTCGTCAATTTCTGATGTAGCGACTGCCCGCCATGCGCCGGATGCTCTCTGTGGCTCGCGCAGTTAAGCCGTCAGTCGGCTTCTTTTACCGGAGAGGAAACCGCGGCTTTGGACTAGTTACTTGTCCTTCTTGAGGGAGGTTTGTGCATATGAGAGACAAAGGGGCAAATCTCTGGCCCAAGAGGGCCTGCTGGGGGATTCTAAAACCGGAGCTGCGGGGCTTCTGCACCAAAACTAGCCTAAGAACGTTGTTTCAGCATCCGAGAGTGTATCTTTCCTGACTCTCTTTTTGCATCCATTCTCCCTCCTTGTTCCCTGTGCTGAGATGTCGGGGTTATGAATGATTAGACAGCGGTCAGGCCAAGGCAAAAAGCCAGCGTCCAGTCCCTTCCATGGGGACACAGGCTCTGCCGTCGTGTCTGGGTGGGGGTAACTGAGGACAGATAACCTGTTAACTCTTCCTCAGATTGCCATCCTCCGCCCTCTACACCTCACTGCTTTACAGAGGGGCTGTGCCTGAATGTGACCTTCCCAGGGAGACTGGGCAGCTGAGACACAGATTCCTTGGGCCTCCACACCTTTATAAATAGGAATTATGCCAGCAGCTGGGCCTGGGGAGCAAAGAGGAAATCTATCTTGACCCCAGCAGCATTATTTAGTCCACATAGATTTACAAGCGTTTCAAAATAGTTTGAAGAACACGGGTTTCCTCTTTTTTTGTAATCTTGTAGTTGCATCAAGCTACCGTCTACCTCTGTGGCTCCACAAGCGTATAAATCAGTTATTCAATCTCTCCCCGGATTCATAGATTATCTGCCGTGCCCCAAACACCAGGCAGAGTGCTAAGGGGACACAAAGATAAATAAGATGTGACCCCTGCTCTCCAGGATCCTGTTACATAGATGAAGAGATAGAACATACCCATAAAAAGATAACTAATGACTGACATGGCCTGCTGCCGACAGGTGTTTTGGTCTTTTGGGCTTCAGAAGTTCGGAAGAGGAAGACAGATGACTGTGCAGTGTGGCAGTTGCTCCTTGGGCACTTACAGCAGCTTGTTAGAGTGAGGACAGAAGACTTCATAGCACAGAGGGAACCTGTGACACTGGCTTTATATCACACGATGGTAAATACCCAGGTGAGGACCAGGTGCAGTGGCTCACGCCTGTAATCCCAGCACTTTGGGAGGCTGAGGCGGGTGGATCCTGAGTTCAGGAGTTTGAGACCAGCCTGGCCAATGTGATGAAATCCTGTCTGTACTAAAAATACAAAAAAAAATTAGCCAGGCATGCTGGCATGCTACTGTAGTCCCAGCTGCTCAGGAGGCTGAGGCAGGAGAATACCTGGAACCTGGGAGGTGGAGGTCATGGCACTGCACTCCAGCCTGGGTGACAGAGTGAGACCGTCCCAAAAGAAAAGAAAATACCCAGGTCAGATGTAGTGGGCATCTGTCATTTTAGCAGCCCAGCAGCCACTTCCCTTTTTACTGTGAATAGTACCCCAGATATCTTTCTGGGACTCACTCCTTTCTCACTCTTGGCCCATGAGGGAAACTAGGGCTCCCTGTCCTCATCCTCCTTCTTCTCAGCTCTGAGAGTTAAGCATAAGGGCCTGACCAAGCTTCCTCGTCACAGGGATGGTTGGTACCCAGGACTCATTCTTGAGTTTAGTATTGATTAGTAATCAGTCCTGAGCAGCCAATGTAGTTGCATCCTCTTGGCCACATGACTCAAGCTCAGCCAACCGTTGTCTATCCCTGCTACTGGAAAGTTGGATTTGAACTTGAGCGAATGAGGCTCCAGCTACTGGGGACCATCATTTAGGGACTAAGAAGGAAGTCAGTACAGCAGAAGGAGGGTTGAGAGATGGGGAGAAACCAGATGCTAATGTTGCATTTGTGCCAGCTGTATCTCAAAGTCTACCCCTACCTAGACTGCTCAGTAACATCAGCCAACAGAGTGCCCCTTTCTCTGACACCAGTTTGAATTGGATTCTCTCTTTTACAACAGGAGTTCCAGATGAAATATCTGAGGATGTGATTCCACTTGTATAACACCTCCCTGAGCTGCAAGGCAAGGATTCCACCATTTTATTTTAATTTAATCTAATTTAATTTAATTTAATTTAATTTTTTTGAGATGGTGTCTCACTCTGTCGCCCAGGCTGGAGTGCAGTGGCGTGATCTTGGCTCACTGCAGCTTCTGACTCCCTGATTCAAGTGATTCTCCTGCCCCAGTCTCCCGAGTAACTGGGATTACAGGCATGTGCCACCATGCCCAGCTAATCTTTGTATTTTTAGTAGAGACGGGGTTTCACCATGTTGGCCAGGATAATCTCGATCCCCTGACCTCATGATCTGCCCAGCGTGGCCTCCCAAAGTTCTAGGATTATAGATGTGAGCCACCGCACCTGTTCAAGGATAACTCTATTTTATAGATTTGGTCACTGACAACCAGAGACCAGAACTCTCTTGAGGTCACACAGCATTAGCCAAGGTCTTGGCTCTTGTGATGTCTGACCCGAAATGCTCCTCCATGAGAACTTGCTGTCTCCATGAGCAAGCTTGGCAGGATAGCCAGCCAAGCCCTGCCCATGGGCACCTGCAAGCCAGTAAGGAGGGTTGCCAGGAGAATAGGGCATCCTGGTGAGGTACCAGGAGTGCCTCTAAGTCAGGGACAGGCCAATTGTGGCAGATGAGCCACTCCCTCTCCAAGGTGATGTGCCAAGTGACTCGTGGTTTCTCTTGTCCCCTTGATCTAAAGGCAGTAGCTGACCAGCAGAAATGATTAGCCTGTCTAGATCATTGGTACAGATAATTGACATCAACATCCCAGAAACACAGTTACCTGTCACTGACTTCCAGTGAGTCCTGCCAAATGCAAGCTCATCTCCTTGATTCCAGTGTTTTCCCTATTTCTGAGAAAACCACACTACTCCAGTTTTTCTTTTCCCACTGACTTATCAGTTAAATCAACAAATACTTATTGTGTGCCTGCTCCCATGCAAAACATTGTACAGTTGATTGGGAACACAGAAGGAATCATTGAGTATTTGTGAATTCGGTAATGGCTCATTGAGCCAGGTACAACATGCCAGACGCTTTCAGGTGCTGGTGAACACAGCAGTGAGGAAAACAGCAGAATCTATTGTCCTCATGGTGTCCACAGTCTGGCGGAGGGATAAGACGTAGCAGGGGATAGTAATTGCTTTTTGGCCACCCAGTTTCCCTTAATAAAAGTTCCCTATGTCTTTTGGAGAATGACCTCTCATCTTGGCATTTTTGGATGGACTGCAATTTCAGGGGCCCTGTGTATTCCTAATCAATACTAACATCAAGATTTGTAGAACATTTGCCCTCTGTAGTCAGTATCACAGGTTTGCTCATTTGGTGCTCACCAATACCTGTGGATAGGTATTCCCATATTCAGAGAGGGAAGCTGGGGTTACTGAGAATGACTTGGTCACATGGCTGGTAAACGGCAGAGCCAGGATTCAAACCCAGCCTGGCTAGTTCCAGATACTGCGCTTAACCACCAATCTACAGTGCTTTGCAACGTCACGGAGCTTGTATTGCCTGGGTGTGGGGGTGATCCAACAGGATCATTTTGGTCCAGTTGTTCTTTTTCTCCCAGAAATAAGGACCAAGAAGATAGTGACACAAAGACAGACAGCATTGTTTCAGTCGCTGTCTTCCATTGCTGATGTTCTGATGTGGTTATTGTGTACCTCCCACTTGCCTGTAACCCTGGAGCTTCCCTGGTTGTTTCCCCTTGCAGTCTGATTCTTGAGTGTTCCTTATATTCCGCAGGCCACCCCATATACTTCCAACAAACTCCCTTTGGACTTAAGTTAGTCAGTTTCAGTGGCATGCCACCAGGAGTGCTAATAGATACAGAAATTAACACAATTACCTCCTACACATGGCATGGATGAAAGCACTGGGGGTGTCATCACTGTGCTAATGTTTGGGCAAGCTAAAGGAAGTTTGAGTTTGGGGGAACGTACTTGTACAAAGGGAGAGAGAGATCCAGGGATGTAAGGAGACAGAAAGCAAGTCAGATATGTCGGCAGTCCTAGTGTGCATATTTTCATCTCAGTCACTGGGGAAAAAAATTGGGTTGGGCCCCTCTCTGGCACTTTCTCCTTCTTCCCTTGGATGTGAAGATTGAATGCTTGCAGGGAGCAGACCGCCAGTGGTGTATCACACAGGGTTCAGACAGACATCAAAGTTAATCCTCTCTCTGATCTAAGCAAAATGATGATGAGGGTTTCCTGGGACAGCAGCTTTACTAATTGTGGCACTGCAGCCTGACAAATGTATTTTTAGAATGTTGTGGATTCCCAAGAAGTAACATTACTGGCTGTAGAAAAACAGACTCGAAGCTTGGGACTTGGAACAGAGTGGGATCTCATGCAGAACCTCTGGGTTGGTGCTGCTGAGAATAAGAGTAAGTGGGGAAAATGCTTCTCTGTTTTTATGGGGTTCTGTGATTTGCTGCGTCTCTACCCATCTGTATAAGTATATTCAGGATTTTCTTCTTTGTTCAGTTCTTTCCATGTAAGAGATTTCCCCCAAATGTCCATCTTGGCTAATCTCTTGCTGTGCTCTATACCCCATAATTTTAACTCATGTCTTTATAACTTCCAGACTGTTTGCAGTAGCATCACTTGCCTGATAGATAGCTTCAGGTTCAAGGCGCACTTGCTCCTACTCCTCCTCACTGTCACTGACCTTGGCTTGACTTGAGTCCTCATCAGCTCTCTCTTGCTATGGCTTCCTAACTGGTCCTGTGCATCCTCTTCCATCAGAAAACTCTCTTATTCATAGAGTGATATGGTTTGGCTGTGTCCTCACCCAAATCTCATCTTGAATTGTAGCTCCCATTATTCCCACGTGTTGTGGGAGGGACCTGGTGGGATGTAATTGGGGGCAGGTCTTTCCTGTGCTGTTCTTGTGACAGTGAATAAGTCTCATGAGATCTGATGGTTTTATCACGGGGAGTTTCCCTTCACAAGTTCTCTTCTCTTGTCTTCTGCCATGGGAGATGTGCCTTTCACCTTCCGCCCTGATGGTGAGGCCTCCCCAGCCACGTGAAACTGTAAGTTCATTAAACCTCTTTCTTTTGTAAATTGCCGGGTCTTGGGTATGTCTTTATCAGCAGCATGAAAAGAGGCTAATACTTTGGGTAATTAAAATTACCTTCTGAAGATGTAGACCTGGTCCATCACTGCGCTGACCAGAAGCCTCAAGCCTCAAGTCAACAGGTCATTAAAGGTACCCACTGCATCCATGTGCCTCTGCTGAGTGAAACAATAGTTCTCTCTCTGTAGGCGTTTGTGCTCTGTGCATGTGGTCACAGCTGATGGAGCCATGTGGATGTCTGACCCAGGCCAGAGTTAAAGGTCAAAACCTCTGCCTAAATGGAGAATGGGCTGACCTAATCAGATTCTCTGTTTCTGGAACTTCAACTGGAAAGCCAGGGAGAATCAGGAGGTCAGCCGAAGGAACAGACCGTGGACAGATGCACAAAGAAACACAGTAGCAGCTCAAGGGGAGCTGTGAGTAAGCCGTGGTTATGAGGCAGCAGAAACTGTGAGAGGAAAGCTCTTAGCGAGTAGATGGGGTGGGAATTGCCTGGGAATACAGGAAGCAGAGAACACTGGAGGAGAATTAAAATGAAGATCCACAAATTCCTCCTGCTGAGAAGTAGCAAGATACCTCAAGCCCTACTTCATTTGCTATTTTCTACCATTTTTGTGGGGCACCCACTATATGCCAGGAGCTCTTCTAAGCATTTTCCAAAGTCTTTGCTATCATGGATCATATATTCTAGTTGGGGAGGCAAATGATAATTATATATATACATATTTTTATATACATACAAATTTATATATATATATACATATTTTTTGAAACAGTCTCACTTTGTTGCCCAGGCTAGAGTGCAGTGGCAAGATCTCAGCCCACTGCAGCCTCCACTTCTCAAGCTCTAGCAATTCTTGTGCCTCAGCCTCCTGAGTAGCTGGGACTACAGGCTGCTGCCACCACATCCAGCTAATTTTTTTGCATTTTAGCAGAGACAAGATTTCACCATGTTGCCCAGAGTGGTCTCAAGCTCCTGAGCTCAGGCAATCCACCTACCTCAGCCTCCCAAAGTACTAGGATTTCTGGATGTGAGCCCCCGCACCTGGCCTAGATATGTATATATTTTGAGACAGGGTCTTGCTCACTCTGTCACCCAGGCCGGAGGGCAGTGGTGTGATCACGGCTCACTGCAGTCTCCAACTCTTGGGCTCAAACCATCCTCCCATCTCTGCCTCTGAGCTAGAATCATAGGTGCATGCTACCACACCCAGCTAATTTTTTTGTGTTTTTTAAGAATGTGTTTTTGCCATGTGCCCAGGCTGGTCTTGAACACCTGGGCTTAAACAATCTGCCCACCTTGGCCTCCCAAAGTGCTGGGATGACAGGTGTGAGCTGCCACACCTGGCCAGATGTTTTTTAAAGGCAGTAATACTGTGCTGGGAAGAAAAATAGAGCAAGCAGGAGCACTGTGGCGGGAGGAAGCAGTCACTCTTGAGGATGCCACAGAGGCCTGAGTGAAGAGGAGTGAGCCATGCAAATATCTGGAAGAACAATCCTGGTGGCAGGACCTGAGTGCAAAAGTGCTGATCCCAGAGTGTGCTGTTCAGTGATCAGCAAGGAATCCAGTATGACTGCAGCAGAGTGAGTGAAGGAGGCAGTGAAAGGAAATCAGATCATGGAAGTAGCCAGGGAAAGGGCACCATGCCATGGGCCTCACAGACCATGAGAAGGGTGTGGGATTGTGCTGTAGCTGTGATGGGAAGCCACTGGGGGTTCTGGAGCAACTTCTAGTTCCACTATCTTTCTGGGAAGCCCAGCTGCTCTTTAGTTTTTATTCTTTTCCACAGATTCTTGTCTCCCTAACTCATAAAATCTCATTGTTTCCCATAAACCCCTTTTACCTGGAAAAGCGCGAATGAGTTTTCCTTCCTGGCAATTAAAAGAGCCCATCCCCAAAGCTGCCATGATTTGGAATGAGCAACCATCTCAGTTTGGCTCTCTTGGCCTTAGCCCATTTCTCCCAGCCCCTGCTCAGGCAGCTCAGGTCCATTTGCCAGGTGCCACGTGCAGCCTGCCTTTGCCTCCCTCTCGATTCTGCTCTAACTCCTTCCTCTTTAGAATGACCTTCTCATGTCAGCCTCTTGTCATAGACCTTCTCTCCAAGAATATTCTCAAATCCCACTTCTTCTAGGAACCTTCCATGATCACTTGACTTGAAATGAACTCTTCTCTCCTAAACCATTTGGTTTATCTATGGCTGTATAATGAACTACCCAAAACTTAGGGCTTAATGATGAACACAACAATAGTGTTATCTCTTGCAATTCTGTGGGTTGACTGGGCATTCTTCTGCATCACAAGGTGTGGGTGGGCACTGTAACAGCTGAAGCCACCTGGGAGCTGGCTGGGTTGGCCCCTCCAGGATGGCTTACTCCTACGGCTGACAGTGGGTGCTCAACTGGGGCTGATCAACTGGAGCCCCCATACGTATCATCTCCCAGCATGGTGGCTCAGTTCCACGAAGGAGTGCCCCATGAGAATCAGGAAGCAGCTGCAAAGTTCCTCATGGTTTCGCCTTACAAGTCACCCAGAGTGGTTTTAGCCTCATTCTGTTTGTCCATAGGTCACAGTTTCAAGGGGCGGCGAACTAGACTCCAGCTCTTGATGAAAGCAGTGATAAGGAATTTGTGCTCTTCTTAATCTACTGCAGCTTTCATGGTGTTTTTTCCATATACTGATTATATAATAATATTTGTCACCTTTTGCCAAGTGCCATCTATTACAATTAAGTGTCTATCTCACAGGCTAGATTTTTGACTTCTGGTGAGAGATTGCATTTTATTTAGCCCAATTCTTCTAGTGTAATAGTTTTGATAACAATCAACATTTATTAAGTTCCTCTACCTTGTGGTTGATCCCATCTAATTGAACATGTGATCTCATCTCATCTCTACGTTGATAGAATAGATGTCTCATTTTCCAGATTGGGAACTGAGCCACAGAGAGATTCAGCTCTGCCCCAAACCACATGATCGACAAGTGGAAGAACAAGGATTTGAACCGCTTAAGAGCCTGTGTTTTTCTTCTCTCTCTTTGGTGTTATCTCACAGTCTTGGCACCATCTTAGTAGTTTAAGGCTGCTATAAAAAGTTACCATAGACTGTGTGGCTTAAACACAGACGCTTATTTCTCACACTTATGGAAACTGGGAAGTTCAGGATCCAGGTGCAGGCCAACCCCATGTCTTTCTGGGAGGTCCAGCTGCTCCTGGACCAGATAGTGCCAACACAATACTTCTCATTGTGTTATGATTGCCTACTGCATGTGAGGGCCTGCTTCCTACTTTGCAGATGGCCGTCTTCTCATTGTATCTTCACGTGGTGGAAGGAGGGTGAGAAGCTCGCTTGTGTCTCTTTTTATAAGCGCACTAATACAGTCACAGGGGGGCTCACCTTTACAACAGCTAAAACTGATCACCTTCCAGAGGCCCTGTCTCCAAATACCATTGTATTGGGGATTGTGCTTTGACATATGAATGTGGGAGCTTTCATAGCAGACACCAAGGCACTAAGTCAATCTGTGCAGGTGTCGAGAACCTAGGGAAGTCGAGAACAAAAGGGAAGGAAGAAGAAAGAATTCAGTAGAGTAAGTGAGTGGTGGTACCACAAAGGGCCATCAGCAAGTGCTGGTGGTGGCTCCGGTCAACACGTTCCAAGCATCCATGGGTAGCCTGATAAATGGAGTGCAGAGTGTTCGATAGCTCTGCAAGGAGAGGGAGTATTTATTGGGTCTGAGTGCCTGATGCGAAACTTTCCTCCAAAATTCCAATTTTCTATCTGCCAAGATAAGTGATGGAGGTTTATGGTTCCCATTGTAGCACATCCGCCCAGGCTGAGGACCTACAACTCTGAATTTCTGGCCTGCCTCCTTCCAGCGAGAAGTGAATCTAGATTTACATGCCATCAGAAACAAGCATCATCTTCCTGCTCCGTGAGTTCCTAGTTTTAGAAGGTTCTGCTTTCATCCTGGAATATCAATCCACACACACAAGGTCCCTCTCTGTGGAGGAGTAGGTACTTAAACCTAAGATAAGTGGAAACTTTATATCCAAGAAGACAGAAAATAAAATTTCAGTATATTTTATATTAAACAGCTTCTTATGCTTCTATCCTTTTATGAACAGAAGGTCATCAGTAGGCCAAAAGTCTGAAAAACAGTCTCAGTTCCTCAATGTGAGTGCAAACCATTAGTGCAAAAAATAATTAAATTAAAAAATGAAAGGACAGATACTTTCTAGCCTTGTTCTCTTATAGCCCCATATTCTTAGGGCTGACCATTCTCCATCCATACCCACGCCATTCCCAAAGGACATTATCTGTGAATGGTGGCCACATGTGTGGATGTTACAGAACACGCACGTTCTCAGTATTTCACAGACATAATCATGCAGCCAGTATGCACACTGGAAGTCAGCAAAGTGTCTCCCTGGTTGCCTGGGTAGCTGACACTCAATTCTTCATAGTCAATTGAGCCATTTCTTAGCTCCTAGAAGGGTAAAATGGGACATGCATTTATTAGAAGTATGACTTTAAGACACTAGAAAGTCTGAGATGATGGAACTCTGCCAAGCAATCGAGAAATCCTGTGATGGTTGATTTTAGGTGTCAACTTGACTGGATCAAGGGACACACAGATAGCTGGTAGCGCATGATTTCTGGGTGTCTGTGAGGGCGTTTCTGGAAGAGACTGGCGTTTGAAGCAATGGACTGAGTAAGGAAGATCTGCTCTCATACAATGTGGGTGGCACCATCTAATTGGCTGATGGCCCAGATAGAACAAAAAGGCAGAGGAGAGACAAATTCTTTCTCTCTCTTCTGGAGCTGGGGCACCCTTCTTCTGCTTTTGGAAGCAGAATTCCAAGTTCTTCAGCTTTTGAACTCCAGGACCTGAACCGGTGGCTCCCCAGGTTCTCAGACCTGCTGTCTTGGACTGAGAGTAACACCATCAGTTTCCCTAATTCTGAGACCTTTAGCTGGGATGGAACCACACTACCAGCTTCCCTGGGTCTCTGGCTCGCAGATGCCTGTCATGGCACTTCTCAGTTTCCGAATTGTGTGAGCTGATTCCCCTAATCAATCCCCTCATCTCTATCCCTCCATCCATTCATCCATCCATCCATGTTTTGTCTCTCCGAAAAACTATAAATCCATCCTGAAAATACCAACTATAGTCATGTATTACATAACATGTTTCAGTTAACAACTAACATGTTTCAGTTAACATATATGACAACGGTCCCATAAGATTACCCTATTTTTGCTTTTTAATGTTTAGATATGTTTACGTACACGTACTTCCCCTTGTGTTGCAATTACCTACACTTTTCAGTTTGATCACATGCTGGACAGGCTATATAGGTTTGCAGCCTAGGAGCAAGAGGCCACACCATATAGCATACATATGTAGTAGGCTATACCATGTAGGTTTGGTAAGTACACTTTGATGTTCAGAAAATGGTGAAATTGGCTGGGTGCAGTGGCTCACACCTGTAATCCCAGCACTTTGGGAGGCTGAGGCAGGTGGATCATGAGGTCAGGAATTTGAGACCAGCCCAACCAACATGGGGAAACCCCATCTCTACTAAAAATACAAAAATTAGCCAGGCATGGTGGTGTGCGCCTGTAATCTCAGCTACTCAGAAGGCTGAGGCAGGAGAATCACTTGAACCCAGGAGGTGGAGGTTGCAATGAGCCAAGATCGCGCCACTGTACTCCAGCCTGGGCAACAGAGTGAGACTCCATCTCAGGAAAAAAAGAAAACAAATCACCAAAGGATGTATTTCTCAGAATGTATCTCCGTTAAGTGACACACGAGTGTGCTTGTGTGTGTTAAGGGCAATCAAAAATGTCACTGGGGCTTTATCAAAGGCAGTATTATCTTATATGGACTCTTGGTCCTACTGAATATTTTTGTCCTCTTCTTTGCCCACCATCCACCCCCATAAACATTACCCACATTGCAGCCAGGGCAAACATTTAGAAACTGAAATCTGATTTATGATCCCTTGTTAAGACACCCCAATAAAAGGCTTTTCAGGCTGAGTTGGTGGCTCATGCCTGTAATCCCAGCAATTTGGGAGGTTGAGGCAGGTGAATTGCTTGAGCCCAGAAGTTTGAGACTAGCCTGAGCAACAAATTGAGACCCCCGTTGCTACCAAAAAAGAAATAGCCATGTGTGGTGGCACAGTGCCTGTACCATCATGACTACTCAGGAAGCTGAGGCAGGAAGATCGCTTGAACTTGGGAGATCAAGATTGCTGTGAGCTGTGGTCCCTCCACTGCACTCCAGCCTGGGTGACAGAACAAGACCTAGTCGCAAAATAAAAATAAAAATAATAATAATAAAGGCTCCCCAATCACTTAGAACAACATCCAGACATTTTCCTATGTTCTAGAAGGTTCTAGGGGATTTGTCCCTGCCTACCTCTTCTGCCTCACACATGTTTCCCGCTTGTTCATGAGCATATCTGAGTCTGATCTAGCCTATGGGACTTTACACTTGCAGTTTCCTCTGCCTGAAATGCTCTGTGCTCTTGGCCTGGCTTTCTTGTTGCTATGGCTTAAATATTTTTCCTCTCCAAAATGCACGTTGAAACCTAATCCCCAATGTTGCAGTATGGAGAGGTGGGGCTTTTCAGAGGCGTTTGGATTATGAGGGCTCTGCCCTCATCCGTGGATTAATCCATTCATGAATTAATGCATTACCCTGGGAACGGGACTGGTGGCTTTGCAAGAAGAGGAAGACAGCTGAGCTAGCACAGGCAGGAACCTTGCCACGCGATACCCTGAGCCGCCTTGAAACTGCAGAGACCCTAGGTGCAGCCCCTTGACCTTGGAATTCTCAGCCTCCGTAACTGTAAGAAATATTTTTCTTTACAGATTTCCCAGTTTTGGGTATTCAGTTATTAGCAAGAGAAGACAAAGATACTTGTCATTTTAAGTATCTGTTCAAGTGATACTACCTCGTAGAGCTGTACCTGACCACATGGTCTAAAGGGCTCCTCCCCCTTTTCATGCTATATGCATCTTGCTTTTTATTCCCACACCCTCAGATTACCCATTTACATGTTAATTGTTGTTCCTCATTCTAGAAGATAAGTGGAGGAACTTTGTCAACTTCCCTGCTATGTCTCTACTACCTTCCAGAGTACTTGACGCAAAGTAGGTGCTCAATAAATATTTGTTGAATGACTGGAGATACTTTGTTTCTGCATTTAAGAGACAGTATTGCACAAGGGAGAAATTGGGGACTTAACCTCTCTTGGGAAGGATGGGAAAGCCCTGCCTCTCATTAGTTGTTTAATTACTTCAAAGTGTGGGATTTCAGGCAGATTAGCAATCTTTCGTATTCCAGTTGTCACAGCTAAATGCTCGTGGGCCTAATCACAGCACCTGTGATTCTTAAACTGATCACTGATGTCTGGTTTTCCTGTAGGATTAGCAGAGGAAGAAGGCATCTGCAGACTATCACCATTGGCATCTTTTGAGATTTTTAATTAACGGAGTATTTTTTTTTCTTTCTCATTCATGGTCAGGGTTTTGATTAAATTGTAAGTGGAAATCTTGTCATGTCAAAGAGGTTGAAGGAGGGTGCTTGGGGTAGATGAGAGATGTCAGGTCTGCCCTTCGTCGCTGATGAAGAATTGGTGGTGCACCAGCTGGCGCCTCCCTGTCCGCAGCGGGCCACCCCCCACGTGGCAGGGATGGGTATGCACCACAATTACAGTTATTGGCTGCAGTGGATAATTGGACTTGCTGAGACCTCTCTGCTTACCAGACATTTCTTTCTGTCTGCCGTGCCTTTGTGAACATGGGGGTCCCCAAGTTTTCAGCGGGCGAAGCCAGCAGGCAACAGCTCACACTGGCATTTTTGTCAGTCAGGCACCTTCATCTTGGCATTCCAGCTTCTATCCAGGCTGCCTCAGCGCTTCTGAATGATGAACACGGCCTGCGAATAGTTCATCCACAGAGCTGGCTTGGCAGGCGAAGGCTTCTCAGCCCCACCGAGCAGGGGGCTAGATCTCACTGCTCTCCTTTCAGTGGCCCCAGGTGCAGCCTTCACTTCTTACCTCCACCAGATTTGGGGTTTTCAGAGCTAACTGCGGTTTCGGGAAAAGTTCTGTGTTTGGACAAAGCTTTGCAATAAGGCAGATCTGGGTTTGAATCTTATCAATGTACTTAATCCTCGAAACCTCAATTTTATCTGTAAAATAAAGATGATAATCAGGACCTAGCTCACAGATTTTTTTGAGATTAAATAGCACACTGCACACCTGGGGTTCAAACAGGAAATGTCGATTTTATTTGTTTGGGTCAGGTTATTGGGTTAATTGTGGTAGCTTAACAAGATTTCATCTCTCTGAGACTCAGTTTCCTCATCTGTAAATTGAGGATAATGCCTCTTGTGGTTGTGTGACAATGAAATGAATGTGCCAGATAGATAAATTTTCAAGTGCTATGCAAAGGCTCACTAATTTCCTCAATGAGTCACTGACATTTACCCCTGGGCATGAAGTTAAGTTGAACTTCTCACAAAATCCTAAACATGGATATATCATCTGTCTTACTCATCAAAAAGAAAATGTAGAAATATAAAATTGGGAAGCCTGTATGCAAACACTGTTGGAAAGGTTTTTTAAAAAAAGAAGCAAATAGCATTAAAATAATTATTGCATGAATGACCGGGCTGTTGTCCTCAGGGAAAATATTTCCCAGTTTGCTTAGTGTAGCAAAAAAAAGGAAAAAGAGATTTAATAGTTATTTCAAAGCTGTCTCCCCCAGGGAAATTAAACCTGAGTTATGGGGTATTTTTCATAAAATCAGAGTATAAAACTAACAACTGAAAAAAAGAAACTGCTGTGACATGAACCTAAGGGGATTTAAGCAGGGTTCTTCTCAATGGAAGGGCCCCTTGTGCATCAGCATTCCTGCCACTAAACTCTCTTTCACTCCCAGTTTACCCCACTTTTATGTAGTGGGACCTAGGTGTATCCATAAAGAGTGACCTCACTTGGCCATCTTCCAGTCTCCCCTTCTGGGACATCCCTGTGTTATCAGCTGATGCAATGATAGGCCCTCTCAGTCCATGTGACTCCCACCTGCCTTCCCTATCTCTAGTAATAACTGATGTAGGTATGAGGACCACTAAGGCAGTGAGGCATTTTTAAAAATTGAAGCAGCAAGTTCTTTCTATAAGATAGAGATTCTGTTTTTATTTTTGCAGAAATTACACAGAGTCCTTTTCTAGAAACATGATTTATTTAAAGCCTTATTTATCTTCTGTCCTGTGGGCCGTTTCAAGGGCCAGAGGCATTTCTTATTAAACCTCTCCAGCATGGCTTTCTGAAATAGAGCCAGCCCTTCTTTTCTGTAGGGAACCCATTCCCCAGGAGCCTAACTCTGCCCTTCCTCATTCACATGACCCAGAACTGGCCAATCCACCTATCCTATGCTCTTGGTCCTAGTGGCTTGTTCCCAGGATAGGCACGTGATCCAAGTCAAGCAAATCAGTATCTTCCTTGGATCTCTTCTGAGGCTGCAATCAGAAAAATCTATCCCCTAGGGTTGTTAGGTTGGTAAGATTCAATAAGGCCACCAGTAGCCACATGATGAAGGCCTGTCCAAGAGACAAACAAAGAGTAGCATTGTCTGGATGTTGGATCAACCCCTGCCTGAAGCCAGATAGCAGGGCATTATGTGAACTAATAAATGCCCTCCACCTTGCTATTTTTGAACGATGTTTTAAATGAGGATTATTATGTGACTGTGAACTGAATGCATTTCTGATTAATTTGGTTAGATTAGCCTAATATGTATTAAAATTAAAAAAAATTTTTTTTAAAAATTGATATGATGAAATAAACGTAGTATAAAGAAATATAAACTAGAGGGTAGCATATAGATAAGTTTGAAATTTCCTTTTGAAAATGGACATTATAGTCTGTTTTCACACTGCTATAAAGAATTGTCTGGGACTGGATAATTTATAAAGAAAAGAGGTTTAGTTGACTCAGCGCCACATGACTGGGGAAGCCTCAGGAAACATACATGGCAGAAGGGGAAGCAAGCACATCTTATATGGCAGCAGGCAAGAAAGCGTGCATGTGAAGGAGGAACTGTCAAACACTTATAAAACCATCACATCTCATGAGAACTCACTCATTATCACAAGAACAGCATGGGGGAACCGGCCCCATGATCCAGTCACCTCCCAGCAGGACCCTCCTTTGACTTGTGGAGATTCTGGGGATTACAGTTGGAGATGAGATTTGGGAGGGGACACAGAGCCAAATTGTATCACCTTTTAAAATAAAAATTTCTGGCCGGGCATGGTGTCTTATGCCTTTAATCCCAGCATTTTAGGAGGCTGAGGCAGGCAGATCACTTGAGGTCAGGAGTTTGAGACCAGCGTGGCCAACATGGTGAAACCCCGTCTCTACTGAAAATACAAAAATTAGCTGGGCATGATGGTGGGCTCCTGTAATCCTAGCTACTCAGGAGGCCGAGGCACGAGAATCACTTGAACCCAGGAGGTGGAGGTTGCAGTAAGTAGATACTGCACCACTGCACTCTAGCCTGGGCAACAGAGCAAGGCTCCATCTTAAAAAATCCATTTGCTCAGCACCAGCTGTGTGCCAGGCATTTTATGTGCACTGTCTTCCTGGCACTTCACCACCAACCTGCATGTTGCATTACACCCATTTTAAAAAGGAGGAAATCAAGGCTTGGAGTTGCTAAGAGACTTGCCAAACAACCCCCGGGTAAGAATTAGTAAAGCCAAGATTTTGCATTGCAAGTTTTGGCCAAATAACTCACATTATACAGATGTGGATGAGATTATTGCTTATTCACTCAGTCAGCACTTACTGGGCACTAGCTATTTGCCTGGCATGGTGCTAGGCAATGAGGATGTGAAGTGAATAAAATAGTGCCAGTTTTTCAGATGCTTTCAATCCAGTGGGGTCTAATGGCTGCATCAGGGTCATCATTATGGATTGAATTGTGTCCTCCTCAAAAGATATATAGAAGCCCTAATCCTCAGTGCCTGTGATTGTGGCCTTCTTTGGTAATAGGGTCTATGCAGATGTAACCAATTAGAGATGAGGTCATTAGGGCAGGCTCCAATCTAATATAATCATCCTCGTAAGAAGAGGGAATTTAA